AGCTGATGCATATAGCTATACAGAATAACACATCCCCGATAAAGAGCTGAGTACAAGCAATGCATTCTATTAAATGGTTCATCCCTGTAGCAGCCGCACCCAGTCCTGTTCAGGGAGACACCTTCAATATATTATTAGGTATATGTCACGGTACAATGAGGGAGGGCCTGGAAGAAACTGCCTCACCACCAGGATAACTCATATATTTCAAGTTTAATTTGAAATATATGTGAGTGAGTGAAATATATCAGTGAGATGAGACAACCCTTACACAGTCACCACTGGAGACTTTACAAACAATAGCAAATTTTACATAAGTAATGCATCATCTGTGACACACAAAGGATTCCACAACCCACCTAACTTCATCTAACAGTTCCACGTCTTGGAGCAATGCCAGGTTTTCTACAATGGCTGTAGTGCAGTTCTCTGTGAACTTCTCACCCATAACTATTTGATAATTTTAGGAAAATTGTTATTTAACTAGATGTTCCTTACCTCCCAAATTATCCTGTGTCTCCTCCTATTCTCATTTTGGAACCCATGGCACTGGTAGCGTTAGGAAGTTTTATCCCAACTCCCCTATTGCACTAGAGCTGGCTTCCACACCTACCAGCACACACCTTGAAAAAGGTCCCATGCACTAGACTGATTAGCAGTACCCCATATTTAATGCCTTTTCCTTCTTGCAAAAGGGGCAAAAACGTCTGGACAACTGCAGTTACAGGACTGGCGCTCTGCAGAACTCACTAAGCCATGACCAATCCCCTTATAGCCAAGAGGAACCCCATCATAATAGCAAGAGACCTTTGCACCCCCGTGGTTTGCGTCATTTACTATTTGCAAATTATCTATGGTACAACCCATTTCAAAAGGTGTATTCTTGCTTAACTATGACTGTATATATCACATATTTAACTCCTGGTGCAGCATGGGAATTGTTAATTTACAATAGGCATGGAAAAACGTGCATTCTTTCTACTAGCGTTGGGTCAATACAAACACTACTCTGTTGCTTTACTCACTAAAAAGTCACACTTACATGACAGCTATGTATGATTTCTGCATCAGAAAAGAAATCACACCTATGCGTATCTACCCTAATCCAGCCTAACTCATTTAAATTGCCTTGTCATCTATCTCCACTTTCACTCTAGAATTATAACCAAAACTAACAAAGGGTTTAGATCCAGTAACTGATGTCTGGAAGCTAGACATCAGCTGAATGAGACTGCACAAGCAGCACACAAGTACAAATAAGTGAACTAGTGAACTCTAAGCACAAAACAGCCCCTGCTCTTTCCTTCCATATACACAACATCCACAAATACATGTTCACAATTATAACAAATTTCACCTTGACAGCAGATGTTTCTATACTACAGTCAGACTGTAATTATAAGCCTCACAGATGTTCCTAAACTAGCTTTAAACTAGTTGTCTTATATGCCAACAGTAGCGATAGTACTGCAAAATACATCTGAGAAGCTGGAAAAACACTGGAGGGTTCGGGCGTTGACACATCAGCGGAGGATTAAACAGGATGACTGATATAGTAACTGCCCCGGGTGTTAGTCCCATCCCCCGGATAGAGCGCAGTACCTCTAGCAGGGTCAGTAAATGGCATGGAGATCCACTGGTAAACTAACCCTGTTTGAAGTCCAGCATGTTTAGCACAGGTTCACATGCTGTTCACAGATGAATGAGTGGGAAATAACCTCTGTGACAGGGACAAAAAGGATAGTGCCTGAGTTACCATCCCACTTAATCCATTATTAAACATGCATCAAGATCTTCTGACCATGATGCCATAGCTCCAACACTCCTATTACCAGTTCCGGTACCCCAACTTCAGTCATCCCTGCAACTACAGAGAAGAATTCTCTTAGTCTCCAATGTGACTGCAATTGCATACTTCAAATATGCCAGTAAATGACTTTACCAGGGGAATACACAGAGCAACAGAGTCTTTTGAGTGAATTTTGCATCTGCAGACATCATCACAGAAGAAAAAAAAAAAAAGACATATGGTCATCACAGGGACATACATGCGATGTGCATCCCTTAACAGACTGACAACACGTTACCACCTTAGTTCCTTGGCCCAATTGAGCCATGTCATAAACTGCAGGAATAATATATATTCATATATCTAAGAAAGAGCAACACAAGCACTGCAGCCAAATCTGGACTGCAGCTTCCACACTGGGAGTCAGCTTGCACAGGTATCAGTTGAAGTCTGATACTAAGCGCTGCTGTTCACCAAGGAAAAACACTACTGCCTGATAGTCACGCATCACCTACCAGTGGCAGCAACAATATACTATCTTCTCCTACTTTTGTTCAATTTCTTGGACAGTAACCACAGTTCCTTACACCTGGATATCATTTTGCCATCGCTGGGTTGTGCTGGATAAATTCTGTACCTAAATCAGGACAGCAGTTATGTCTCTCAGAGCGGTCCTGTGGCCAAGACAATGAACCGGGGCCTGTCAAGTGAGTTCTACTGCTGATTCTGATGCAGAGTTCAGAGATGCCACACAAGTCATTGGACAAGGCACTGCCGTCTAATCGAGACAGAAGAGGACGAGGAGTTGGGAGTTCAAAGCACAACTCTGCCAGTGTCTCATTCAGTTAATCTCTTATAGGTTACAGTGCACTGTGAATAAGACTGATCTGAGGAAAGTGAATTCATCATCAGATTTAGCACGCAACTCTTGTATGACTCTTGATCAGGTCACCTAAACTTCTGGATATCTATCTCTCACTTCCATGCGAAGATGATGCAGTAAAACCGATTACGCTATTCTGCAGTTACACGTTCTTTTTAATGAACCCTGAACAAATTAACAAGGCTAAAGTGCTGAATTCCTTGAGTTGTGTTCCCTCAAAATCCAATTCAGTTCCAATACTATTAAGCCAGTACATCTTCAAGAGAAGTGGTAGGGAAGTGTCTTTGGTACAAGTAAAGACAAGTAATTTGTATACTTTAAAAAAAGTTCCGCAAATACTGTAACGTCAAAAATAGGCATGAAGCACATCAGCTTCCTGACACTGCTTCCAAGAAGGACAAAACAGTGGGTGCTGGGAGGCTACCACAGGCGGAAGATTGGGCAAGCAGAATTAGCAGGTGGGGAGTGGCACCCTCAGCAAATGATCTGTTCATGTACCACTAATAAAAATGTCATAATTTATCAGAAGTGGAAAATGAAATGGAAGCAGAAGGAGACTTTTTTGGGGGAGGAGGGGTTTTACTCCCAAAGGAGGACTGAACTAGCTAGGATTTCTGAACCAAAAAAGGAAAGGACAGGGGATTTCTCCAGGATGTCAAAGGCCACTTTAGGAAGGAAGAGAATAGTCTGTGCTCGCTGTCTCTGGACACAGGAGAAATAAAAAGGCTTAAGTGCAGCAAAGAATTCAGACATTAGCAGGACTTTCTAACGATACGGACAAGGAACCACAGGGAATGGACCAAATAAGGAGGCAGAGTCCCTCTTATTTAAGGCACTTAAGAATAGGTTTAGCAAGTGTGCAACATCAATACCAGCAATTCCACTTTGGTGGAAGGGGAAGAATGAATTAGACAATCTCTGGAGGGCCCTTACAACTCTCTTGTCCATTATTCTTTAGACAGTGACATGAAAAAAAGCTGCTAATGCAAGGCATACATTTATATGGCTCATCTAGCACCGTTTGCCTAGTCTCCTCAGGAAAACTCCTAACAGCTCCACAAACCGCTCAACCCATCCATCTCCTACAGACCCACAAAGCTCTTGACTCTGCAGAGCTATAAAATTGTCTCAATAAGGGAAGAATAGGGTGAAAGATGTAGTTGGTGGGCCTGGAGCCAACCACCAAGAAACAACTGTGAACAACAAGAGGCAGAACCCACAGCCAGAACCGGCAATCCATCACAGCATGTAAAAATAGTTGCAGTACTTCACTCTCCGCTGCGTCATGAAGCATCAGCCACTTGGGCAGACTATCACTCAAAAAAGCCCCACAAACCATCATGATTTCCTAACCCACAGGACAGTTATGAAGGTGCTCCCAAGAAGGAACAATTCTTCAGTACTTTAGATTCACCTTTCCCATTTGTGATGGCTTTTTTTTTTTTTTTTTTCCTTCCTCTTCACATCCTGGGGTGTTTTGATTCTTAATACTACCAACCACAATTTCATCTCAAAACACCTTCATCATTCTCCTGTGCTAAAAAACAACACAAAAGTTGGAGAGGAACAGGCTTTCGCACTGGTGATTAACAATTCATGCAAAAAGCAAGTGGCATCTTCATATTTAAGATATAAACCTGTTGGGGGGGGAGGGGGAAGGTTGAACAAATCTATATTTACTATTATCTAAATGTCTATTAATATAACAAATGCTATGCATCTCTCCATAGAAGCCTTTTTCAGGCTACTTTGGGTATGGCACATCTTGAAGTGTAAATTACACAAACTGAAGAGAGAAAACCTCTCCCGGATGGCCTGTAAAGACCAAGGAAGCCTGTAACAAGTACACTGGTGGATGGTGACAGTGACCCATTTCATACCCATTTCAAAATTACTTACACCTACTGCTAAAGTACTCTATTCCTTTGGCTATTAAAAAATAGTAAAGCTAGTGCACTGACTAAAGTCTAGTTTCATAATCAGGGCGGAGCTGGAGCATGCAAGCAACTATAAAGGTAGCTCCAACCTTGAGACTCTCACATCTGCCGTATACGTTTGAAGGCTCTGGGTTTTGCGAGTGAGGTAAGCATGATCTAAATGTATTGTGTGTTTCAAATCTTTGATCCTAATTTAATTTTCTTTTTTTCCTGTGAAAGTTGAGCTAGTTTTACAGAGAAAAAGTCTTTTTCTGCTAGCTTAAATATTTGTCATTTTTCATTGGTGGTAATGCAATGAATGCATCAGAGGAATTTTCAAAACATTTTGATGTACAGAATTGTTACTGTCTGCTTTGTTTTCAGTTACTTTTCAAGACAGCATCAGAGGAACATGGAACATTTACTCAATGACAACCTATTGAAGTATTTTACCCAGTACGCTTTGATGGAGGGTAGCACCAGTGCACTGTCCATTGGTGGACTGAAAAATTTGCTTCAGAATCAATTTGCACAGTACCTGAAGGTAAGTCTCACTTTTTTCATATTCACTGTACTTCCTAGGAAATGGACAGGAAACAGGAAATAGAGGTAATGCTTTTACAAGGCAGATAATTGTGCCCCACCTGATTTCACCAACTCCACTAATAATCCTTAAATAAGGGTAGGTTTATGAAACTTTCTTTACATTAATGAACAGTAGCTCGAAAGAGATATCCAAGTAAGGATCTTATAATAAAGCTCTAGGAAATACAAAAATCAAAGCAGCTTTTTATGTCAGCGAAATTTCATCTATAATATTGCATCTGAGTCATATACAGGATTTTGTGCTCCAATCTAAATAATGTGTCTTGCAGGGCAAATTTAAAAGTACTGCATATAAGTCAACTTCTATCTAGATTAGGTTCTCACCTTCACAAAACAAAAGGTTTGCCATTTGAGAAAGATACTAAGTAAAGAAAAGAGACGCCACCAAGCATTTCAGAGAGACAGAGAAATATCCCTTTCACAGTGCTAGAAAAAAATCTTGATTCTGATTTCATATATACTCTTTGCCAGACCTTTCCTGAACTGGATTAGGATTCAAGTTAGATTCCTTTGCTAGATAAACCCTTAAATATTATGTTTGGGGCCGCTGATGAAAGCGATTTTTACTAAAGGTCTGAAAGAAGTTGGAGTTCAATGGAAACACCGGTATTTTGAGAACAGCAGTAATCCAGTTTAATCATTTCACTAACATGAAGTGGTAAATTAAAAAAAAAAAAATTAATGAAACACACTAAGGTTTTTTCCTCTTTCCAAGAAGCTTATCTGAGAAGTTAACTCCCAAATTAAAATGAAATACAACAGGAAATTTGGAAAGATATTGTTTTGCATATTAGTTGTAGACAATTCAGCCCAGGGCAAAAACTAATCCAGATTTGATGAAAAGTCAATGCTCAGAAAAAGAAACACTCATGTTTTCCATCTGGATATTAGACATCTACCTTCTACTCAGTTTGCAGAAAAATATGGCATCACAATAGATCAACAAAAAGTAGGTAGGACACTGCAAAACATACACTAACATAAAAACATCACGACAAAGAAAAGAGTTTAAAGATTTAAATTATAAACCAAACTGTCTTTATATTATTTTGTGAACTAGCTTGCTCAGGCTCTTAATCACAATACTCACTGCATCAGAATATTACATGCACTCTTCCCAGACACAAGGAACAAAAGGAGTTAATAATCTATACTAGATTTTAATACATCAGCAAATAATTTTGCAATAGCAAGTACAATATTCCTAGTAAAGAGAGAGAAAGGGTAAGAAAAAAGACTCTCAAGTCCTGGTCCAAAGCCTACTGAAAGTAGCAACATGTTTTCAAACGGTCCATGTGGGGCTCTGCATTAGTATCTAATAAAGCAGTGGGTGGTATTGCATATTAAAGGTGATTATGTGCATGCTGCAGCTGTTCCACCTGCTCTGTTTCCTAATTTCTGTAATGCAATCCAAATCAAATTTACCTACAAGAGACTGAAGTAATCTGCCTGAGTCATACTTGTGGTTTGGCTACGACAGATGCACTGACTTTTTCCATTGGTGAATGTAAATTTCTTGATAGTATAACGTAACATTTTTGGAGTGCTCAAGTTGCATTCAGACATTGAAATGTCAAGTGAAACGCAGACAATAGCCGTACTTCTCAAATGCTTATTATATCTTTGCTAACAGTTTTGGCAGGTGATGGCAGGCACTGCAGTTCTAGTTTAACCAGTAAAACTGGTAAACATAAATAACGCTATCAGTAACATCTTCACATAACACTGACTTTTACTGATTGTATCATTTCTTGGCAATACTCTTCATAGGAAAAGAGTTGTGGCAACTTATGTATTTAGTTCTTTTTTTTCTTATTCTTTTCCTATAAAAACAACAGGATACATTCTCACTTGATACCATAATTAAATCATTGGACAAAAATAATGACGGAAGTGTCACCTTTGATGAGTTTGTGGCGCTTATAAAAAAGATAACTGGTACTGGACAGTAAGGCATCTGCAAGAATAAGAAGTATCCCTGCTTCGAAAGGAGAAAAGCCTGGCATATACAGTATATGTACACCTGTACCCACAGATTTCCTTATTGTGATAATAAAAAACAAAGAATAAAGATGCATTTGACAATGGATACAATGGATAAGTCTTATCTTGTTTTCTCTGCATGTTAGCTCTGCAATGCTTTCCAGCTAAGCTGCTTCCCAATTAGTGCAGAACTATTTGTTTTTATTTCACACTACAAAAATGTTGCTGGAGTGAGTTATCATCTTGACCTCTAGAGCAGTTCAAATCAAATGCTTTCTAAAAATACAAGGGAAGAAGAAATATCATTCCATTTGGAGACTGTCCCCTAATGTACACTATCTAATACTCTGCCCAGTTCAATTTCATCATTCACATCAGGAGACATTTCCATATGGTAAACGACTCAAGGTTTTAGCACACTTACAGTGTTGTTACACTGTTATTGAAAAAATACTTTACTAAGTATGATGACTGTAATATTCCAGGTTGACTTCCAGTTATATTCATCTAAGTTTACATTTCCCTGTAAAAATAACATTTTTTTGTTATGATTCTTTTGTAACTGTTAATACACAAGTATGTACAGGAACTAAGTGATCGCTGCTTCAAATTAAGATGTTCACTGCATTTGGCACAATTTTAACCTTTTAATTGCATGATTCTCAGAGACGCATGCCTTTTCAATGCAATTCATGGGATTTTATCTACTTTACTTTATTACACTACATTACTACGTTGTTTACTTTATTAAGAGGAAGACAGTGAAAAAGAAGAAAAATAGAAGAAAGTAGACTTTGAAGTAAAATAATTTAGTGGATCAGGCACTAATGCTACTGTAGAGCTTGAAACTGTAGACTGAATTGTAACACCAACATCATTCATTACTCTGATAAATTGGTTAGGCTCAAATCCTCAGAGGACTTAAAGACAACTTAATTGCAAAGGGTATCAAGTGCATTAGAGACTCCATAGTAGTGTTCTTATCCCCTCTATGAAATGAGGATTAAAGCACTTCCTTCTTCATACCAGTGCTGCATGGACAGAAATCTCAAAGATTATGAGACTCAGACATGGTATTACGAGTGTTCAAACAGATTACTGGACCATATTTCTACACAAATCTTTCCAGTGTTCCTGTAGGTTATGTTTCTTTAAGAAAAGAAAAAAAAGCTACTTTTTTGTGAGCTACCTATACATTTTTATTTGTCTTAAATTAACAATATACTTTGATTTGTATTCTATGTCTACCACACAAGCATCTGCTTCCACAGCTCCTTTAGCTACCCAATCCACATAAGTAATACCACAGAACTATAAGAGGTGTTTTTGCATGAGTGGCACATAGTTTTCTTTTCTTCTATTAAACAATATTAGAAATATCTGAGTTCAATTAGGTTATACTGACATTCTGAAGAGGAAAAAGAGGGCATCAGGAAATAGACATGTTATGAGAGTGTCACCTACTGGCAAAATCTATTTCTGCACAATTTCTAGAATTTACAGAAAATGCACTTATTTTACCCAGTGCAGTATCTGAAGTTTCATCATCCTACAGGAGATGCAATGGGCTGTGAAGCACCATGGTCACAATTAAAATTAGCTTCTTTTTAAAAAAAAAAAAAAAAGTTAGAATTATCTCCAGAAAGATTCATTTTTGCAAGAACAGTATCAGATGCAGTTGCAATAAAACTGACAAAGAACACAATGAAAAGGTTCATCAGAAAAACGAAAATCAAAGTTTAATAGGAGAGGAAGGGAACAGAAAAGAAGAGGGAGATGGAACAAAACAAAACAAAAAATTTTGTTCTGCCACCCAGTAAATCAAATTCACTGGCGGTTTACGCACTGTACAGAGTTCACTTTTAAAAGAAAACCTAAAAATGATCATTTGCAACATAAAATTCATACTAAGCATTACTCTCAAGCTGATGTACTACTTTTCGGAAGAGTTTTCTTCACAGCAAAGTACAATAATAACTTAACTATCATTACTATCCAAAAGGACGGAAAGCGGAGCAGAAAGTTTAAGAATATGTAACGCAACATGACCTGCAAATAATCAACCATTCATTCAGGATCAGAAATTTGGGGGACTGTGATCA